ATTGTCATGAGAAATTGCATTTCAATGCACTGCATAATCATGAGAGGCAGGAATTCACTTAAAGAGAGAAGTAAAAAATTAAATTCACGTGGTAAGGCTTTCATTAGAGCTCAATGGGTTGCCTAAGTTTATCATTTTTATCGTCCTAGTTGTTTAACGAAGGATTCAAACCTAGCTAGTTTTTCCACATATTCAACAAGGAAACTAGTTTAGGGAGAATGACACCCCATAGTGTGAGAAATAAGGGAAACTATGACCCACAAATGAGTTGGGCAATCTTGACTGGGTAACCTCTCACACGTGTTTTGGCTAGAATAATCTCAGTTTATAAACGATCCCAATGTGTTATAGCCCGCAATTTCATGTTAAAGGCATAAGGAAGATTTAAGGAAGATGTGATCATGTATATAATTATAAAAGGGGCACATGTTATTTATACTGTGACCTTAGTGGAATAAATCATTTGGTTGGTCTTATTTCCATATGAAAATTGTATTAATAAATCATTATCTCATGAGTATGTGCTTTTATGAATGAGAATTGTGATTTATGTTCCTAGACATGTTGAATGATTTGAAAATGATATTCTTTCCACTTCCATTTATAAATGATTTGAAGTATATTGGGTGTGTTCTAAGTGGTGTTTGTAGCTTTTTAGCTTTTGGTGAGAGTTTTAGGCACCCAAGTCACATGTAAATGATAAAAAAAAGTAAATTTTGAAATGAATGTCTAACTTTTGACTGAAAAGTAATTTGATTGCGATATTAAAGCCATTAGCTAGAGCTTGAAAAAAGCTCTTTTTAAATATTTAAATCACCTTAATCAGATGTCAAATAGAGAAACAAAAAGTTTACCTCAATTGCTATCATTTGACAACAACATTACTATCAAAACCGACCAATGTGCCGTGGCACACAAGCCGTGGAGCATGCTTGTCAAGTCACGGAGCGTTGGATTCACTATTTTTAATTTTTTCAGCAAATGCCTTGATTCTTTTTTGAGATCCCATGCTTCCACATAATGACCAAACTTTGATTTTTGATTCGTGAATATCTTTTAGAATGTTTTAAATATTAAAAATTTAAAATGCCATTTATGTTATTTGATAAATTTGATAATTATAATGTTTAGAGATTAGGGAGGACTTGTAAGGATAACCTTACTTGTCTAATTTGAAGATTTTACATCGTGAACCAAAAGGTAGCCATAAATACTATATAAATTTTATCTACTCTTCTCCTTAAGCGAACTCCTGCCAATGATTATGCAATATATAATGCTCACTTATTTCATAAATTCACCACTTAATTAACACATTAGGTTAAACTAATAAATTGACCTGTGTGAACGTCTGTATTAGTTTCTCAATTATTTTTCATTTCAAACTCTAATGCATATTCTTGACATTACATGATCATCAAACCAACATTCGAAACTCAAATTTTCTTTCAAAATATAATCAAGGTATTTTCAAATATATCATATTCACACATCACATGTTTGGCACATGTAAAAAATCTCACAAAGTATTTACCTATATCACATCAATCATTTTCAAAATATAATTCAATTAATGAACAACTACACATAATACATTTTTTCGGTTACCTAAAACTTTTGAAATGTTAAAGGTTTACCCCTTAGTAACTTGCTTCTAACCTTATTTTCCAAGTTGAATACGGTGCCTTGATGATTAATTTATAATTAATTAAATCCAAACTCATCAACATTACCAAATATATACTTCTAACTCTCATTTTTCATCTTCAAAATATCTAAAACCCTTATTTCTCACATTTAAGCTTTCTAACTCTCTTTAGCTCCCAATAACCTTATCAAATGCCTAACTCACCATTAATAGCTTCCAACCACCTCAAGGACCTACATTTATGTTTCATTTTTAGGCTTTAAGAGTCACTCACTACTATTAACGCATAAAACTCTTCATTAAAGGTTTTAATCACTCAAATAACTCCTCTTAACTTTATTTAGATTAATGGATTTTGACCTATAACCTATATAAACTGAAAATCATCTCCCACTTACAAACTCTAGCTTAAAACTGGTGTAGAGAAGAAGGGAAAGAATAGGAAAGATTTATCTTAGTGATTAGGAGCTTTAAACTCTCTCCAATCCTTCACGATGTTGTGCCTTAGCAAAGCCCAATCTCTCTCCTTCTCCCTCTCTCATTTTTCTCTTACTTCTTCTTTCTATTTTTACGTCTGTTTGCAAAGTGTTTTCTGTAGAAAATAAGTTATGTGCCATGGCATTTGGTATAGAGAAGCTCATTCTCATTCTTATAGCTTTATGCACCGCGACACACCATACATGCGTCACAACATGTGATATAGAGACTCCTTTCCTTGTTTTTGATTGCAAAGTGACTTAATTTCACTTGAAGCCCAACTTTATAGCTAAAAATACAACCAAAACACTTATTCATCCTCTTTGACCACACACAACATAAATCTTACTTAGTTGCCCATGATTAAATTGATTGTCAGGGATTAATTTTTCATGATATTATAGCTATGATGTATTGCACAGGCCTTATTGAGTGTAGTCTAAGGGTGGTTGTGAGCTTATAACACTAGTAATGAGTTTTGACACCATAATTATACCTTGAAAGCAAAAATGTGTGAGTTTGTATTTTGGTATCTAACTTTTGATCGAGAAATATTTGGATGTAAAATCAGTGCCATTAGCTAGAGCTCGAAAAAAGCTTTCTGTAAATACTTAGATCACTTCAATTAAATATTAGGTAGACAAATGGAGCACGTCAAAAGTTTAGCCAAAAAATCTATCATGATAACATGTTGCTTTTATGGGTTCTCCATTTTTCACCACAGTGTAAAATTTTATGCTGCTGCATATTGTGTCAAAATTATTATTTTTGACTCTTTTAACCCTAATTTAATTTGTTATCTTACCTTGTATGATTTTCATATTTTCACACATAGGTTTTGCTCTGATTTTGGTTTATGAAATGATTTCATAGCATTTTAAATTTTAAAAAATTAGGCTCCTGTTTATGTAAATTTTACAAATTTTATAATTCCTTTGAGTTTGTCCTGTAATTGCCTCAATTTTGGAGTTAATTCAGCACTCCTAAAAAAAATTTAGGAATAAATTAACATTAAAGGACATGATTAAAATCTTACTTGTCATAACACATAAATCTTACATATATGTTTCGTCAACAAAAAGGGGAAAGTTAATATTTGACTAGTGGAAGGAGTTTTTTGCTCCTCACAAAAATGGTTGAGAGAAAAAATTGACCCATATCAATAAAGTGTCTAGTGTTTTATGAAAAAAGTTTAAAAGTATAAATGAACCATAACTTAAAAAATTATAATTTGCACAATCATGTTTGTGTGTACTTGTTCATGCGATAATAAAACATTAAAATTAGAATCTTTTGCTAATTATGCACGCTCATGGATAAATCGTCCGCAATAATATATTTATAAGATCAACGGTAAGAATAATTTTTTAAGATGAACGGGCCTTTATATTTGTATTTGGATTTATATTTCTTTTATATTTTAATTTCAAGCACGTCGCCATCACCTTGTGGGAATATTAATTGCAAGCATTGACTTGGCAGGCATTTTCTTTTAGACCACCAATGTAGAAATTGTTCATGAACTGAGTCGAAACTTTAAGCTTGAATCTGTTTCCTAAGTTACAGAAGAAGTTGTATTTTTTAAAAAATAAACATGCTAATACGAGTCTCCTTCAAATGAAGTTTATTGTTTATTTAATTTCTCTTGTCTCCTACACCTATAATAGAGGACTACTATAGGCCTCTATTAATTTCACGAAGCGTGTAGGCAGGGTTGATTGTATGTTTTTTAAAGGTTCAAAAGTTTTAAGCAAGCCTTAACATGTTTTTTATATAGATTTTAGGCTTTTCCTTCAAACTTTCAATAGCCCAGCAATATTTTTGATTTCTATTGTTACAAGTTTTTCTTCTTGTCCGTGTGTTATTTTGTCGTCAGCCGGTGTTTTTGTGGGTTAGTATTGGCGACCATCATATACTTCTATTTCAATTGAGAAATATTAAACAAAATTTAAGAAATATCATCCTCATTTTCTTTTTTACTTTTCATCTTATTTTACTAGATAGAAATTATTTTGTAAAAATAATTCATATGCCCGGCAGTGTCCCAGTGGCAAAAGAAAAAGGGGATGATTTGATTGGACTGATGAGGATTTAATGATATAATTAGATAATAGGTGACTCAAAATGGTGTCATATTACAACAGTGGATGATGATGATGATGATGTGAAGGAGAAAATGAGGCGTTAATGTCGGAATTTTGGTATTTGGAGGATTTCCAGCAAGATCACAACTAGGCTACCGGTTGACCGGATAATTTAGTTTGACCGTATTGTCTGCGTCACCCTACAGCTGGAAAAACGTACCCGGACAAGAACGTAAAATTCATCATTAGATTCCATTATTCCTGATGTTCCTCTCCCTCCTCCCTCCTTCCTTAGTTTATACCAAATCCCTTTCTTCCTTCCCTATCATTACTTTACTCTTTTCTCTCATATATAGTCCTTTTTTTGTATTTTGTTAAAGGCAGACACACGGGATCTTTATACCCTGCACCCCCATCGCACGGTAAAACCCTCGCCTGCCTCAATCATGGCCTTATACTTGTCCCGTGGGCTCCATCCAGAAGCATCGATCTGGTGGGGTCGGTTTGATGAAGGATGATGGAGGTTAGGTGCGAAACTGGTGAGGGTCCTCAAAAGAAATGAAAGAGTGAGTGTGCAACAGCGAAGAGAGAGACGTCTGTTACTTACGAACAGTTGGCATATGTGTCAGTACAACGATTTTAAAATGAATAAAACAAGTATGCCAATATGAATACAGAGTAAGCAAGCTTGGTTTTCAAGAGAAGAACCTCTTGCATACAATCTACGTTTTTGAGAGAAGCAAAAAGAAATACAGGCACGCACGCACACGCTCTGAGAAAAAGAGAAAGGCCTAGTAATTATTAATTAAACCAACTTACATGGAGTAAAGCTTACAGGATAAAGGAGATTAGGTTCCGCAATAATTCACCAACAGGAGCAGTTGGCAGTAGTTAGTGAGTCTTTCTTTTAAAATCATTCATGTCATCTCTTGGCCTGGGCAGGTAAGCAAACCAAGCCTCTCAGTCTCTCCGCCTCCTCTGTCTAGCTTATTAGCTCCTGGTCTTGTTTGCAATCTATCAAAGTTGGCTTTTTGTGCTCCCTCGGATGTTTATCCTACCATCGATTTGTTGAAATTGGGAATTTTTTCTTGTCGAAATTAATCGGTGCCCCTGATGATACGGTCGGACTGCCCAGTATAGCACAGTATGCCATAGGGTCCGCAGTCATATAGCATTGATTTGATTAGAGTTTGATGCCTCCGGTCCTTCCTTCTTCTATTAGATTCCCATCCCACTATTAATATCGGTGTTTCCGCAGCTTCTCTTTCCTCTCCTGTCTTTAAATCAAAACCAAATATACTCGCTGTTTCTTCGTTCGTATTTCCATTAACAAGAGAATCTCTTACCGGGTCGAAAAGACTCGAGATTGCTCACATCAATCACGCTGGTGTTGGAAAGAATGGAAATCGTAGTTGTTTAGCGGGCAAAGGAGAAAAGGGAATCTGCTTTAGTGGTAGTTGGATGAACTGTTAGCTAATCCCATTGTTTGTCTACGTCCGCTTTATGCTCTGAAAGGTTCACTTTCCTGTGCGAGGGGGAGCATTTTGCCCTTTTTTGAGCATTATAGTAGTCTTGATCCTAGGGTTCCTGAAGTGAGCGAGGTAACTAGCTGGTGACGACTACATTATATTCCTTTTACTTTGTGTCTATGCTACAATGAGAGGGAGGGGGTTTCTTTTACTTTAACTTCCTCTCAGTCCTATAAAGCTGCCAGCCCTGTTTTGTTCCTTGTTGAGTCCTGCAAGATATCTCCTCCCAACTTAGTCAAAATTCGCTTAACCTTTAATCATGATCTTGTTTACTTATTCACAGTTATTTCTATCTGCTGCCGGTTGAGTCAGGATTTAGCTATTATTATATTGGTCATTGGTTAGTGAGTTTGTAGGAATTTAGCTGTTCAATCCAGGAGATGGGTGGCCATGAAAATGCTATGGGGTTTCAACACGGGCAAGGGACAATCCTGAATTGCACGTCATCGGGCTTGAGCAGCAATGTTTCTGAAATCGCAATTAGCTCTGTGTCTATGGCCAAGCCTCCCGTTGTGACTAATCCCTTTCTTGGGTCGTCTTCTTCCACCTGGGATCCCCTTGTTTCCTTGAATCAGACTCAAACTTTTGGAGGCTCTTCCATGGTTTCTCACAGCGAGTTTGGCAGTTCATCTTACCCTCTCGTGTTGGAAAATCAGGGATTGAGTAGCGCCTCTCACCTAGTTCAATATATGTCCGACACTAATTTCGCTGTTCCTTCCTATGCAAGTGGAAGCTTTTCCGAAATGGTTGGCTCTTTCCCCACACCTGGGTGTTCTGATTTAGCCAATACGAGTTATGGCCCAGGTTATAACCCAAACGAAGAGGCAGCCATGAAAAGGGTTCCGCTAAATGCTTCACAATCTCAGCTTGAGGATCCAACTCCTGAAGAAGGAGCCACAGGATCTGCACCAAATGGAAGTAGAAGAAAGCGAGGACTTGATCACAATACCACGTTCAGTCCAAATAAGGTAGATCAAGCATGCTAATATGTCTCAGTTAGGACATTTAAAATGTTATTACTCATTGCTCTTTTCATATGGTTGAATTTATGAATGAATGTCTTTATAACCTCTTAATAGAACGCTGAAGGTGAACCGATGAGGGATTCTTCTGGGAAGAGCTCTGATGGTGTAAAAGAACACGATGAGAAGAAACAAAAGGTTGAGCAAGATAATACTAGTGCAGATTTGCGTGGTAAGCAATCATCAAAGCAAGCTAAAGACAACTCTCAAAGTGGAGAAGCTCCTAAAGAAAATTTCATTCATGTGAGGGCTCGTAGAGGTCAAGCCACAAACAGTCACAGCCTTGCCGAAAGGGTACCTTCTTACTTCTTACTAGCAAAGTGTTATTGTAAGAACACCCACTTCATCTTATAAAGGGCCAGAGGTCTTGTAACTTTTTGTTTGTAGGTAAGAAGAGAGAAGATTAGTGAGCGAATGAGGCTGCTTCAAGAACTTGTTCCAGGATGCAACAAGGTTTGACAGACAGATTGCCCTAGCTGTAATTTTCTCATGGAGCATTTTTGCACCGGGTATTAAATATCTGTTGTCAAAAACTTGTTTTAGATAACTGGGAAAGCAGTGATGCTGGATGAGATTATTAACTATGTGCAATCGCTGCAGCAACAGGTTGAGGTATGCTCTTCTCGCCGTGGAAGAAAAGGCCTCCTTCCTTCTGCATTGCAATAAAAAATATTATTACACATCTGATCACGCATTCCTAGAATCTAGGGCCGCTAATTTAAACAAGCATATTTTGTTTCTGCAAACAATAATGTTGATGTGATGTCCACTATGCACATGCCTCATTTTCTGTTGATTAGAATCGTTTGATCATCTCCCGAAATAATATAAAAGGATCAAGTATAAGTATTTAATTGCACATGAATGTTGTCGATAATTGATTAATTAATTCACTGCAGACCCATGAAGACAACTGCATTAACAAGATCATGCGCTGCTGAACTAATTAATACAATATTTTGCAGTTTTTGTCAATGAAACTTGCCACCGTGAACCCAGAACTGAATTTTGATGTAGAGCGGGTGCTATCCAAAGATGTAAGTTACTATCACCAGGATTTAATCTTGTGATTTGATTCACTCTTTTATTGCACACAAGGAATCCTGGGGTTCATCTGCTTTTGCTCAGATTCTTCAGTCGCGCATTGCGAATGGAACAATTGGTGGATATGGCATGAACTCCTCTCACTCATTCCCCAGTGGAAGTTTTCAGGGAACTCTTCCAGGCATACCCAACACATCACCATTCCCTCCTTTGCCCCAGGTAAACATCATCGTAAAGGGCGCTACTGTCAAGGCTTTATTAACTCCGAACTATCTTGTATGTGAAAGTGGTGATTTTTATTGATGCAGAGTGTTTTGGAGCATGAGTTTCAAAGCTTGTATGGAATGGGATACGATTCCAGCGCAGCTCTTGAAAACGCAGGACCCAACGGTAATCCTCACAATTCTTCTTTACGATTTCCCCATATGCTTAATGAATTCAAGTTTTAATGCTCTCTTATGGATCCTGTTATGTTGAACAGGGAGGTTGAAAACAGAGTTGTAATGGGTACAAGATATTTGGATTTCATTAGAAGGGCTTTGTTTCTACTACCCACAGGGGACTTTGAATTTTCAAGCAATTTAACTGAAGCTAAGAAAAGGTGGGGAAATAGAGAGGGAAGGATGTGGAATAAGGGTTGGAGTTGTATAGGATCTTTAATACCTAACTGTTGGCTCTTCGAATTTTTAGCAGAAGATGACTTGTTAGATCCATATGCATTATTATGTATATTGAGGGAAGGAAAGACCAGGCTCTGATTGGTGAAGGTGATTCATGATTGTTTTAAGCTAGTGAGTTGCAGATTAGAGAAATGCGTGAAACCTTTTTTTTTTTTTTAAGCAAGGGCTTCTGGCCTTTCTTTTTTTGTTCTCTGGAAAGAAAAGAAAAATGAAATTGCGTAATGAATGAAGATATTGCATGGATGTTGCAACAAATATAAAAGGGCAAGATGTTGTGTCCACTTTCCAGTGAGCATCAATGGCACCAACTTGATTCATGAAATTTCAACTTAGCCGGAATTGGTATTCCACCCATAGGAGTAGTCATGTCATGGACGGATGTTTTTGAAAATTTTCTCAAATTGTATGTTATCAAAACAAAAAACAAAAAAAACTATCAAAATGTTTGTTATACCAAAAGAAAAAAAATTTCTCAAAATGCAAGTTTAATGGGAGTGCGTTTAACAACCCTAATAGCAGCAGGCCAAGAGATCATGTATTAGACTGCCAAGCTGGGCTTGTTCATCGAACTCCAGACACTATCAGTCCCATTGCTAAAACAAAGCTAAAAAACCATCAAAATGTTTGTTATACCAAAAGAAATTTTTTTTTCTCAAAATGCAAGTTTAATGGGAGTGCGTTTAACGACCCTAATAGTAGCAGGCCAAGAGCTCATGTATTAGACTGCCAAGCAGGGCTTATTCATCGAACTCCAGACACTATCAGTCCCATTGCTAAAACAAGGTTTTAATATTGGACTAGATCCTCCTCCTCATTACATTTTTTGGTAAAATAGCTGGCCATCTCAGTGACGGTGGTATCTCCCTTGTTTTGGTCTCAGATTCAAATATAATATTAATATGTTAGTGCGCGCGCGGGGGTGAGACTCTCCCTTTTTCATGGAAAATGGATAAATTAGCTGTTACTTAAACATTGTGATACTAGATTCTGATTTTTCAAGTGAAAAGATAAAGGGAATTCTATTTTTTTAAAAAAAAAAAGGAAAAAGTAAAGGGAAAACGTACTCTTATTCTGAGTAATTGAAATGCCTCTAAATTAACAAGCTTAGGATTGTATCCAATCTTCAAACAAAAAAGAAAAATTGGGAGGGAGGGGATTCATAATGCATCCTTATAACCGGAAAAAAATACTAAAAAATCAATCGCACTACTAAGTTAAAGCTGACATCATTAGTTAAATATTCGATGGTCACACATAACATCATCAAGTTACCTTTTTCCAATCTAATCTCAACCATTTTTTTTATCATCATTACCAAGATAAAGTAGATTTTTTTTCATTTAAATTAAATTTGAATCAAAGGGTATTTTTGCCCTTGAATTATCTCCTCAAAAGCTCTGGATATTATAACTATTAAGTAATACAATATTTCCCTTTAAACACTCCAAAACGTTTGCGTTGCCCATAATTTTGACCAACACTTTAGAATTATATCTATAAATAACAATATATCGCTGTAAAAATATCTCAATACCGTCTCAGACAGATACATTCAGGTTCGTACAAGAAAAATACTCAACACTAATTAAAATAAAAATTGGTTAAGATAATACTCAATCACTTTATATTTCTTAATAAATAAATCAAGGATCGTAATCAATTCATGCATATAACTTCACTGTTCATGCATAAACTAATAGCTGCTGCTTCTTTCTGGGGAAAAAAAAAAACCATTTCGTACCATATATTATTGATTGGTATAAATTAAAACCAGAGGTCCCAAATGAGAAAAAAGGAACTCTCCCGAGTAAAGTCGCAACAGGGGGGTTTTTTTTTTCCCCCAATTTACAATGCTTGAACCCGAGATTTTGCTTCAAAGATATTGAATTTTTTATTACTGAATCCAATCACCCTTATACAAAATATCATTGGATATGGAAGTATCCGGTTGACTTTTAAAAACGTGAATCTCTAAAATCTAAAAGGAATTATTTGAATTTAATATTAAATTTAAGTTAGCATTTTATTTAAATAAATGTAGAATGAAAACTAGAAGTCATGTTGCAAGTATCAAATATGATTAAGATGACAAATTTTTTTTAAAAAATACTTAAATAAGATACAAATCATTCAGCCAACAAGTGTTAGTCCTAATGAAAGGGGCCATAACTACTTAAGCATAAAACCTCAAACTTGAATCTGTATAAAAGCATAAAATGTCTTTAGAATAGTTACATCTAATTAAGCTTGATAATACTTGAACTAACCCAATCTATGCAAAGACGGAAGGGAAAGGAAGAGAAGATAAAAAGAAAAATGAATAGAGAGATGTGAAGAAAAGTTGCGCGGGTGGCATTTCATAATTTTTTTTTTCACATGCCTATAAAATGCGGTGTGTGTGTGTGTGTGTTATAGTTAAATGTGAATTCTTTTTTTTTTTGAAAGTTCACTCGTGTTTACATCGCTTGTGTTAGACGTAGAAGCGTGCTCCAAATTCTGGTATGTAAAACGAATGCCATGTGCTGTGATAGAAGACAAAAGCACATGATAGAATTAGAAGCAGAGTGCTCAAGGCCTCAAGCACAGTTCGCTTGTTATGTTTGGTTGGTGCTCAGTCTATTATTCTAGCCCTTTCATTTAAGGAGAGCCGTCCATAATTGACCGACCCCATCCATCCTCCTCGCCTTCATAATAAAAGGATATAAAAAGTTATTTTGTTGCTTGCACCATTAACAAAATAGCAGAAAGAGCAGCATCAAACTTTGGACAAACACACTCGATTGTAGATCCCTTTACCTGTCATATCTTCCTTTAAATTTAAAGCTGATGCCATTGCTAAGCCCCTTACATTTTTATAATTGATGTTTTGGTGGGAAACATTATATATGAGGCAGAAAAATGAGCATCACAATAATAAAAAGAGTGAGAATGCGAATGAGCATCAATTATGGAATAGTGGTGGATTATGGGGCCTGCAGGCTGCAACCACACAACAACCAGCCGTCCGGAGATAGGCCCCACACTGCCACATGCACTTGTGCTTCCTGCCTCATCAGCATCATAGGTATCATACCATTATCATCCCAATAATAGCCACAGCTGTAAAAACCCCCCACTCATCAATGCCCTCACAGGTATTCCCACATCCATCCAATTCTCCAACACTCTACTATCCAAGCCTTCAGCATTTACTTCAGTTCTCATACATACAAGCAGGTTCAGTTCCTTCGTGATTTTTTGTATTTCACTTTTCTTCAGACATGATTTAGTTAAACTTAAAGATAGTCTCTTTCAAACTGAGCGAAAGAAGCTTCCATTCTTTAATTTTTCTGGCATTTGTTTTATGAATTTAGTTAGTGGTTATTTCCTGTTGCGCCGAAAATAGGTGATTAGGGGAGAACTGCGCAAGGCAAATTTTCAAATTCGAAGTGACTGGTGACCGTTTGAATCACAAACATTATGTCACGGATCATTCAAGGTAATGTTTTGTTGCCTGATGGCTGATGAGATCCCACTCTTCTACCGTTTGGACATGACAAAAATGAATGAAGCATTTATATAATTATTTTCAGAACCATCAGGATAAATTTGCTCCCAACGTCTACTGTAACTAATTCAACAAAAATCCCAATTCGTGTTTCGAACCACAGATATTTCTTACAAAAGAATTGATCCCAACAATTAACTAAAGAATAGACAGAAACTTACGAAGTGGGGGCACAACGAAGAAATGTGCAAAAAAAAAAAGGAAACTTACATACCAACGAGTTTCCACCAGCTTCTAGTGTGTTGGTTCCCGAATGGAATTGAAGTCATCACTCCTGTGACCGTATAACAATGTCATCTCGTAATTGAGTGGAATGGGATTGGGATCTTGCATGGTCCTCCATGCCTGAGCACTGCCTGTATTTTCCCCATAATAACTTGTCTTTGAAAGATTTTTATACGGCTGGGACGAGTCCAGCGTCCATGCTTTGTTTACTGGTTTCATAATTAATGATCTACAGTTCTTTACAAAGCTCTTCCTATCAATTTAGATTCAATCAACCTGCTCGCCAATCAAGTCAAGACCTACTAACAGGAAGGATATCCCTTGGAATAACAAGAAGTAGAAATGGACTCCCTGGGCAGATAAGAGACTCCTCACCGAAGCTGTTAGTAGCAGGAAAGCCAAGGCAAGCTCCTTCATGTATATTCTGTTGTGCTTCTTCTTGGTCTTCTTAGAAGCAGCCTTTTGCTCCTGTCTTTGTATTTCCTCAAGATCGGGCGCTGATGCTGCTTTCTGATGCTTTGACTCTTTATGAACCAGTGAAACAAGATCGCCCTCTGAGGAACGACCAGATTTCTTGGTCACAACCCACTCGTATGCACTGCCCAACTGGAATAGTCCAGAGATCATGGCATTGAATTTGGTCACCGACATGGTATTCTCAAAAAGAAGGTAAGGTACGATAAAGGGGAAGGATTTTGGAGCAGGAAGGATGTTGAGAAATGACATGGTTGCTGGGATGTAACACACTACCCAAGCAGGAAGCTCAGCCTCTGGGACAAACATTGTCATAGGTAGAATTATACAGAAAAGGGTAAATGAATAGAAGGGCAATATCAATTTTCTTAGGAGAAAGAAGAGGAATATTAAATTGAATTTCTTCCCCCCGCTTATCTGTGAAAATAAATTTGGGACTACAATTACTATGCGTGCACCATAATTGAATTACAGAAAAGTAGTTATCTAAAATTGACACGTGCATACCTTGGCCCGGATGATGTCCGGCAAACAAAGGCGAAATAGTTGCATTGGCCCAGAATGCCATCTGTGCTGTTGTTTCCTATAAGCTTCGTAAGATTCTGGAAGTTCACACTGACACTGCACGCGTTAACGAGTAATGATCAGTTTTGAGAATTGATGAACACTGCAAAATAAAAGATATAGATGGTATGAATTAATGTGAGGCACACCTCCACGTCATTAAGGAAAATAAATTTCCAGCCATGAAGATGAGCTCGGACAGCTATGTCCATGTCCTCAACAGTGGTCCTCTCCAACCACCCACCAGCTTCCTCCAAAGCCTTAATTCGCCACACTCCAGCCGTTCCATTGAACCCAAAGAAATTTATGAAAATACCATTTACTTGCTGTTCAACCTCAAAATGGAATGCCAGATTAATGTTCTGCAACCTTGTAAGCAAATTTTCATCCTTGTTCACAAATGACCATCTTGCTTGAACGAGTCCTAATTCCTCGTTATCCTGCAGTTGCAGCAAGTAGATTATTTTACATGCATCTAACTATCTTTCTAGGCCACTTGAAAACGATAATTTTCTTGGGAGTCATCTCGTAATGCGACACTGAACTGATTACTTACCTTGAAATGAGGAACAGTTCTTTTAAGAAAATCAGGGGTGGGCTGAAAATCAGCGTCAAAAATAGCAACGAACTCGTAGTCTTTTACATAGCTACAATTCATGGCAGACTTGAGATTCCCGGCCTTGTACCCTTGTCTAAGCACTCGGTGTCGGTACACTATGTTTGCACCCTCTTGTTGCCATCTTTCGACCTCCTCTTTGATCAACACTTGCGTTGTCGGGTCATCAGAATCATCCAGAACTTGAATTAGTAACTTGGATTTAGGCCAATCCAAACTACAAACCGCAGCGATTGACTGATGGTAAACCTGAGCAAAAAAGAAATCTCGCCAATCAGGTCAATATAAAAGAGAAACTCGAGAGTTAAAAGGAGTTTATACTATGCCTTACTTCTCTCTCATTGCACATGGGGATCTGCACTAGCACCAAAGGAAAGAAGCCCTTCTCACCAGACTCTAGATCTACAGCAACTTCTTTAGGAACAGGTTTGATCTTCTTGAATCGAATCCAGAAGCAGCCCAAACAAAGAATCAGTCTATCCAAACTCTGAATAAGGAAAAGTACAATGCACGCATTGGCTAGGAACTGCAGAGGCGGAGCTATGTACTCTACACGAATCAAAACCCACCGGGAATAGAGCCAATCGAAAACATCTTTCACCCCGAATGAGGTCAACCATGCATAGTCCAGTTGAAGATGCGGAGCGCCGAAATGCCAACCCTTAAAGTAGGCAGTAACCTCAAAAAGTAGCAGAAGCACAGATAACCATAGGAACACCTTAATACAAGAATAGAACCTGCTCTTCACAGTGGGGTTTTCCTTTTCCCTGCCAACGCCGATTTCGTCATCGTGGTCGGCATCGACGTCGGTTCTTCCAGAGGCGACGCGGCGCTTCACAGCAGACGCTAGACCGAACAATGCGGGGGCAATGGAGGTCAAGCAACCGGCGGCTCTGTGAGCTTTGAGGAGAAGAACCCAAGTGAGTTGCTTGGCGTTTTTACCTCTGCCTTTGTCTCTTGCACGACCCAAGTGGTCGGAAATGAGGAAGTCGTCCTCTGAAGGACCCGCGAGCTCAACCATGGACCAATTGGGGTTCTCCATCTTCACAACCACCGGGGTTCCCCGATGGCCCTCTTTCCCCCACCAATTAAATAAGGGCGCCATTGCTGCGTTTGATCTAAGAATCCCACCTCAAAATTACAAAAACTTATACAGCACTAATTTGCAGTTTCCAAGTAGCTCTCTCTCTTTCCCCCACGACTTTTTCCTGGATTTTTCCCCCTTGTAAACTGCTTTAATGCCACCAAAAAAAAAAAGGAAGAGAACCTAAAACCAGAAACGTGAAGCAAAAGGCTATAACTTTGATCTCATTGTGAGAAAAGAGAAATAACGCGGGAAATGGAAGCGGTGACAGACGCGTGGTTGAGACAGCAGGGCAAGGCGTCAGTGAGCGACGGTGACATTCGAGGCCAGGTTAAAATTGAACTATTTCACGGAGAAGAAGAGGGGCTAGAGAGTTTGAGAAATAGTACTAAAGAAGAACATTACAACCTGCTGGACGAGGCCATCACAGCTCCCATCCAATTACAGCTCGCGATGAATGAAGGAGGTCTGAGGCGTAAGAACAAGAGATACTGGGAGGAATAAGCAACGGAGGAGAAAGGTACTTAAAACAGAGGGTAACAGCTCAACACGTCTAGATTTTGATTCCAAAAATTCTATTCCCATTTTCTTTTATTTAAAAAAAAGTCTAACGAGAATTCCACGCGAATACTACCCATGTAGCACGTTCAGCTCTCAAGAGTCAAGATCTTCCGAGAAGTCCAGACTTCACCAACATCTCTCGTAATTGTAATTACGAGTTGCGACCAAAGAATTCACAGATTTCCCGGTAAAACTCAATCTATTCTGGGAAGGAAAGAGAACAATCATAGAATACATCAGTAATAAAAGACCACCACTGATAAAATTAGAAAAAAGCACCCAGCGACACAACTTTTTTCCCAACTAGTCCTAGCTCTCCACCAATTCTTTTTAAATTTTAAAATCATTAACCACTTTTCTGCTCTACTTTCTTGGTTTCATTATATTGGTTTTTTTGGGGGGGGGGGTTGTTACACAGTATAAGTGTTTTTACATATTATTTATGCAATAATTTTAAAAAATATACTTAAAAATATGTAATATGCTGCAAAGGAGGGTTGTATATGGTAAGAAATCGTAATTATAAAGATTTTCCGCGCGCTGAAAGGTGGAAACCGAAGGAGAACAGCTTCAATCCTGCCTTGCCAGTTCTGTGGTATGTCCCCGTGGGGTGCGCAACCAAGGGAAAATGAGAAAAATTGAATAAGGCGTAATTATTAAATTTTAAATAATGCCTTAAAAAAGCTAATATTCTAGTTATCCCCACTTAAAAGATTAAAAAATTAATTTTAATTTTATTTATAAGGCAATTATTATTTTCAAAATTTATTTTCATCTTTCTACTTTTATTAAATACTATAAAAAATTATTAAAAGTAATTATTTTTATATTTATTATTGGGTAGGAATGAAAAATTATTAAATTTGATAAGAAATTTAATAAAATTTAATATTGTTCTTAGTTCTGGTAAAATATAGTAAAAATAATTTATAAATAAGATAAAAAGAATTTAATTTATAATAAACTTGTCAAAACTTTTAGACATTTTTTTTTTACCGAACTGTGAGACATTATCACATTACTACTATAAATATAGATGGATAAAATTATTAATTAATAATTAACAGCTGGTAATCTATTGTCTATCTCTTAATCTACAACCTATAAATTTATTACTATAAACAGCAAAGCGCCAAAAAACGGTCATTGGTTTTAATTTTCAAGTTATAGTTGGCCAAACACACACACACACACACACACACACAATATAATTAGAGCATATCTATGTTTCAATTAATTAATTCTTCATAGGAATAAAAAAGGTCCAGAAAATTGAACCTCAGGCCGTCTTGATCATAACAAAGGGGCTGTAAAAGCAAGGTATAACCCGTTCCAAGGCCGCCACTACTCACCGGTCCTTCTCACAGTAAAAGTGGTGCCACTAACTCCACCCTCCGATTCAACTCATCTAGGTTGAAACTGGGCATAGTACGCCCGATCTCCCAAAAAATTTATTTTTCAATAGCAAAGCGAGAAGAGAAAAGAAGAAGGGAGAATTTTTTAAAATTTCACACAAAAAAATTAATTATTAAATTTATTAATAATTAAATTAAAATATATTAATAACACAATTAATTAGCAATATAATTCAATTCAATTAATAAATTTTACAGTAATTAATTTTGATTGTATAGAACTTTCATATTAACCAAATTATCCATCATTGGTCAAAACTTAAATTATCTTATAAATCATAATTTAGTCATAATTTTATTTATAAGGTAAAGAGATTGTGTTTATTTTACTCCTATTTATTATAAGGTATTTTAATAATTATTATATTCACATCTACCATGTTATTTCTATCAAATGTTAAGAACCTCACTAAACATTAGAGTATTTTATTTTAAAATATATATATATATCTATTAGGAATAAAATCAAAAACTTGTTAAATTTTTAAAAAAATTAAAAAAAATTTATTTTTTTAATTTAAATAAAAATATTAACAGTGACTCATAAATAAAATTAAAAATAATATTTTATTGTCTGGAAAAATTTTAAAATGTTCCCTTGCCATCAACAAATGCACGCGCCCAATATTCGCGTCCTGCTGCAATACCAAGCTGGGATATATTGGCGACGAACAATTTAGACATGTATTCCTTTTGATGGATATTTTTTAAAAGTAATTTTTAATCATAAATATATAACATTTTATAAGAATTATATTATTTTTGCAATTTTATGATTTATTAATTAGCATATAAGAATTTAATATAATTATATTGTGATTTAAAAATAAAAATAAAAAAATATATCTTATTTTATAATATTAAAAAATTAATTTTTTAAAAAATTGTGAAACAGTAAAAAATATTCTATCACAAAAATTAGATGAGTTACTTCCTTCATTAAAAAATTTAAAATATTTTTAATTAAATTTTATATTTTAATAAAATAATTATTTATTTTTCAACTAATCATATCTTTTTATATTTATCTTTATTAAATATTTTAAAATAAATATAAAATTATTATTAATAAAGATATTTTTAAAAATAGATAATGATTATATCGTAAAAGATTAAAAATTTTAAATTTTTAAATATTTAATTTTTAAAAAAATATTTTATATTTTTTAATAGTATGAGTATATAAGAACTCAAGGTTCGCTGTCAAGTTGATGCCACCGACAGCTATTTTTGTTTTTTGGGTCAATAATGTCGCCGACAGCTTTAAGCCTTTAACCGCGAAAAGGTGAGGAAATAGCTGGAGGGCCAATTTGGGAAGATAAAAATGCAGAAGGTTAGGCCAGCGTGGCGGCGGATCACCAAGTGTTACGGTGTGCGCGAGTGTACCCAATACAAACCGCCGCCTTGATGATCAGTAAAGGGATCGATGATGTGGAGACCAGAGCCAGTGAGCACGGAAGTCCATGCGGATCAGTCGTATGGGAACCGATCACCGCTGGCACTGAATCAGGGTCATAGTCACGTGAGAAAAGTGTGGCGCTGCTTCAAAATTCAAACACAGGGCCAAACTGGAGATTACACCGATCCAAATTCGCAGAAACGGGGGGTATCTGGGAGTGAAAAATAAGTTAAGTCAAATTAAATTTTAACCAAATAGATCAAAGCTTATATTTTAAAATTATTATAATATATAATATATAATTTAATTTATTAATTATAATATATAATACTCTCTCTGTTTTAAATTATAAAATATTTTAAAAAAATCTTAAAATATAAAATACTTTAGATAAATTAAGATTTCATTAAATGCATCAATTTAAATATTATTTTTTTATTTATAATTAATTTTTATCGCTTCTATTTTTAATATATTAAATAATAGGTATTTTTAAAAGTTTATATTTTTATTTTAAAAGATGAGATTGTTAAGTATATTTAATGAGATTTATTAATATATAAAATTTTATTTAAAAGTATCTTATAATTTAGGATAAATGGAGTAATTGAAATGACTTATTAGCTACAATACAATATAATAATAGAATAATAACATTAAAATTAATATATAAGTCTAATATGATTGAAAATATAATTAGAAATAAAAAAATAATTTGATTAAAAATTAAATGATGAAACTAATGTATTTGTAAGATATTTTACATAATATATGTATGTGTATAAATAGATTAGCCTGTTAGATACATAGGCTATGCCTTAAAAAAATAAGCATGAGTTATTTAAATAGGCCTGATAAAAAACCTGATCTATGTTTATTTAATAAATAAATTAAATTAAACTTAAAGTTGGTCAGACTATATCTTTGTTAAAAGCTTAACCTGTTCCTATCCTCAATACGGAGTAACAACAGAGCGTTGATGAAGCGCCCCTCCATGTTATTCGCAACCGCGTGCTTGGTAAGGAAGAGAAAAGGACGAAGCGTGTTGGGAAGGAGTCGCACGTGTAAATCAGTTGATGTGTGTGAGATGACACGTGTGAGGGAAGTGGTCCTAGGTCACACATAAAGAAACAGGTAGGCCACTGCGGCCGTCCAGGTTGCGCGCGATTACCGCACCACGCACCCGTCGCGTCCATGTATCGCTGTGTTTTTTTGTTCAGTAGAAATATTCACATTAAATCATTAATAATTAAATAACATGGATGAGTTTCCTCGATTCACTACTAATTATTTGTTTGTCCCGGTCATTACATCAATTCAGTAGGAAAATGATCCTCTCCGTTCACAACACTATGATTGCGCTGTTTTGATTTTTAAACAAAAAGTTTTCGCCCCTTTGTTTCAACATCAGCCGCCTTTTATTCTCCCTTCCACAGCTGTCTGCTGCTTATTTAGTTTATCAATTTTTTGAAATTAATTCATGAACTCTGTCTTCCCTCCCGTGAGTGTGTAGAAACAGGGCTTGGCGTTATTGGCATTATGGAGGTGTTATCCATTTGCATCGAGAGAATGAGTGGTTTGATTAGGTGCGTAGTAATAAATGAAACGGGACTGAAGAATGAAACTACCGAGTACAAGAAAAAATGAAGTTGTGTTTCGTGGTAGGAAATATAACTAGTAGTAGAGGTGAGATTGGATGACCACAGCTAGGAATATCTCTGTGTGCAATCGGGGATCGCTGAATAAGACGTAGCAACCAACGAATAGCCCAACGACATATAAATCATATAACACATGATACACGTAATGAATTTTGTCGGTGGTGTAACTTAAAGGCTTTGTTAATGATCCTCTGCCCAGAGCCACCAAATTTTTTGTTACGTGGTACTGACCAGTATTACCATTAGCGTTGATCTGAAAACAATAAGTATAAATAGTTAAAAAAAAAGGTTTTTTTTTTTTAAAAAAAAACACACACAGCTCACGGCCAAAAGGTAGTCAATGAAACCTGGATTGGCAACAGTGAGACGACACGTACGTGGAATGAGGACATAGAAAAATGGAGCACATATTTTATTCATGCTTTCGATGTTCGTGGATGACAGCTCTTTCCAATGATTACTTTTATTTTCTAAAAAAGCTTCATTTTCACCGAGCCCAATAATACATAAGGGAGAATTCACAAGTGTACAAATCTCTCGTGTAATCCTGTAATTAGCGAGACGAATAAGAGGGAAAATAAAAGTGGTGAACAGAATCCACAGAAAGGAAGG